TTTTTACCTCATTTACGTGCAAATTTTTTTTTATTATTTATATGATCAGAAGATACAAAATTTACAGTATAATTTGAATTATTGCAGTCTAAACTATGCTGTTGTAATTTATGTACAACACCTATGAACTGTAAACTTTGAAACGGGTTAATTATAGCCTTTAGGATGGGATAGTTGTGTTTTATCATTTTCTATCCCACTGCACTCGGCACTCGTCACTGCAGGATCTTGAAAAGGTCAAGTTTACGCAACCTTACATCGGCCTACTGTGAAACTGTTTTCATGATTGCATAATTTGTGCCCTTCTGAGATATTTTCATGATTATATAATTTGTGCCCTAATGAGAGAACCAAAATTTGATGCCCCATAAATACCCAGCTCAACTATATTAAAATGTTGAATTATTGGCATTATATTGGCTTGACACCGACCATGTCACTGTTTTGCGACCAATTTAGAAATAGAGAGGGAAAAAACTTTTGTTATTTAACACTTTCAGATGAATAAATCCAAGTGTATAAATAATTTTTACAATGTAACAAAGGGTGAGTCTATATATGGTGAATTCTATATGTGGGACCTATTTTTTATTTCAAATCCATATATTATTTTATGAAAATCTTTTTTATTCATAACTGCTTTTTAATGATTGGAGTGAAAGAAATAATTAATAAAATTTTAGCTCGAAAGAGCAAAAATAAACATGTTAAGCCTCCGTTTGGGAAGTGGGTTTACTTTTTGGCTTTTTAATTTTTTTGGCTACTTTAATCTGAAGCTAAAAAGTCTGGTTTAGAAAGGATTTTTTGGCTTTTTTAATTTTTTGACTTTTCGGTGAGGTGCCTTTATGGTAAATTACCAAACTGCCCTTGACACATGATTCTCATGGCAACTCACACTCAAATGGTCCACCACGTCAGCGCCATGTACAGGACCGAAATTGTTTGAATTTTTTTTTTTTTTTTTGGGTTTAGATTTGGCGTATTTTCCATTAAATTTTATTTTTATTTTTATTTTGAGTTTGGATTTAGCGTATTTTGCTTAATTTTTATTTTTTTATTTTGGGTTTGGATTTCACGTATTTTACTTAAATTTTTTATTTTTTTTTTATTTTGGGTTTGGATTTGGCATATTTTTTTTATCTTTTTATTTTTATTGGTATACAATAACTTTTTTTTATTTTTCAAAAATGAGTTTTCATGTGTTTTATTTATTTTTAAATTACATCGCGAATTGTAATTTATGTTTTTATATTTTTTTAAAATATTTTTTAATAAGACGTATTTTTCTCGTTATTTTTTTTTAATTTACGTTTTTGTCATTTTTTAATTCGTACATATTAATTTGTTTTTATATTTCAAAAATGGGTTTTCATGTGTTTTATTTATTTGTGAATTACATTCCAAATGGTAATTTCTGTTTTTTTTAATATTTTAAAATATTTTTGAATGAGACGTATTTTTTTTAAATAATTTATGTATTTTAAATTTTTTTTTTTGGTAAATGGTTTTTTCATGTGTTTTTTATTTTTATTTTTATTTTTTTTCATTTTCTGTGAAATGATAAAAAATGAGGTTTTATTTTATTGTCCTGTGTATTTTAAATAATTTAATTTTAAATATTTAATTTTAATTTTAATTTTATTTTAAATATTTAAATAATGTAAATAATCTAAAAAATTTAATAAGCAAAAAATGAAAATAAATATTCAAAAAACTTAAATGGTTAAAATTTAAATAATTTAAATATTTAAAAATTTATTTTAACAAAAAATTTGAATACTTTAAATATTCAAAAAATTTAAATAATTTAAAATGTTAATATTTTAAATTTAAAAACAACTCTACACTCAAATCGTAATCAAACACATAAAATAAAACTCAATTAATAAATTATTTTTAAAACTCATAACAAACACATAACTCGAAACTCCATACTACTTTCACAACTCTACACTTAAATCATAACCAAATACATAACAAAAAAATTAAAATATTTTTAAAATATTTTTACAAAATAGAGTTTGAATTTATTTTTATAAAATATTTTAACAAAAAACAAAAAAAAAATGTTTTTAATTTTTTTTTTCAACTTTCTTTGTTTTTTCTGGGAAAAGATATTTTTTGGAAAAATGTTTTTTTTTTTTACTTTGAATATTTCTGACACTGAGGCTAAATTAGCCCCTCTTTCATGTGGGGGTAGTTTCGTAAATTTACCCGTGGAATGGTTGTTGCCAAGCCCCTGCCATGCTTTTGTCTCCATGTGGCTGAATTAGCCACTTTTGTCCGTATGTGGCTAATTTAGCGTCAAATTACCTTCCTAAACACAGGCTAGCAATGCTTTTTTGGGGGGTAATTTTTCAAGTATTTGGAACACATTTGTTGTGTCTATCTTGATGCTTTAACGGAACGGATTTTGGATATCTCGTTAATACCATATGCATAGAATGATAATTTCATTTAATTCATGTTTGATTCACAAGATTAATAGTGAAGTATTAATAATTTTATTAAATTAGTGTGGTATTTACTGTCCAATTGAATTAATATCCATTAGATTAATAATCTCACCCATACCCCATTACTAATAATCCTACAAATTTATTGGATTAATTATCCATTGAATTAATAATCCTAAACCAAAATGTGAAAACAAACATAGGATAATTGGGTCCACGAATTAATAATCTCAATCTCATGCTCTAATCCACCCAATCAAACATGCCCTTAAAGTACAAGAGATCGATAGTTATAATTGAAAGTGGGGAACTAGTGAAATTTTGTTAAAATTACGAAGGAGTTAAATGTGACTAATCTAAAAAATGAAAACTTTTGGCTGTGTTTGGAGAAGCTCTCTAAACACATTTCCATCTATTGATTTTAGTGTGCTATTTGTTTTGAGTTTTCAAATTATAATTCCACACCCACTTTTGAAAACTCATTTTTAGGCGAGAAAATTTGGCTAACCCGTGTTGGGAAAAACTACTCACATTACATAATTTCACATTGCATATCGCAAAATTATGAGATGAACAAAACAAACCTTTAATCCCAGGAAAAATAGCATGCTGAATAAAATACAGATAAAATATAAATGGTTAAAGGAAGCAAACCAAAGCCTGTGCGATACCACAGTCTCCTTAAAATAGATTCGCCGCCTCACCGTTGGGTGCTGGAGGTACGCCGACGTCTACTTCCTAGGATACGACAGTTTTTACCAGAGTGTATGGATGTCAAGGAAAAAATTTATATCTCTTTTCAAGGAATAGGGCCTCTTTTTATACACCATGGGGGAGAGGAGAGGAGCCTCTAGCCATCAAGGTTGGCAACTAATGCTAGCAAAACTGCCTAATCAATTTTGTAAAACTGATGAGCCTTAAATGTGTGAGTTATATAAACATTTATGAGGCAATTTCTTATTCAACCATTTTTCTCCAACAATCCCCCACATGAATAAAAATTGACCAAATACAGTAAACGCTCAACGTTTATCAACAAAGACTCGGAAAGAGAGAAAGCACATAGACTAACCTTGCATCAAAAAAAGTAGTTGTTGGCCTTAAACCTTTCGTAGTGAAAGCCTATCGGATTTACTGGCTGACCAGTGAACGTGATGTCATGAACTGTTCTGCCGTTTATGTAAACCGAGACAATAGACCTCACACAGGAGTTAGTCCAACCATTGTTCTTGTTCTCACTGGTGTTTCCGGTATGGCCCTGAAACACTAGCCTGGTTCTGTGAGTGTTTTTAAAGAATTCGGCCTTGGCAATTCTTAAAGAAGCGGCCTCACTTCGCACTCACATAGGTGACCTAGATACGGTATTTCATTATACCACATCACTAAGGTCATTAAAAAAATTAGCTTAACCTTCCACCCCCATAGGGCATCACTGTATAAAGGAATGGGCAAGAGGATTTACCTCTTCAGTGACTCACCCGTTACACGAAGTTAGGTTGTCCCTTTGAACCTAGATCTTGGGATTTCCAGTCAACTAGGTTGGATTTTCTGTTTCGGTAACCTTTACTAAAGGCCTTAATCCCATTCCTCTTGACGACTTTTCTAGTAACTCTCGAGTTAACCCTTTGGTTAGTGGATCCGCAATGTTGTCCTTAGACTTGACATAGTCTAAAGAGACAACTCCATTTGAGAGTAGTTGTCGTATGGAATTATGTCTACGACGGATATGTCTAGACTTTCCATTATACATATTACTCTGTGCCCGACCAATCGTTGATTGGCTATCGCAATGAATATTGATAGCTGGCACAGGTTTCGGCCAACGTAGAATATCCTCAACAAACTGGCGAAGCCATTCAGCTTCTTCAGTTGCTTTATCTAAAGCAATAAACTCAGATTCCATCGTTGATCTCGAGATACACGTTTGCTTGGCAGATTTCCAAGACACGGCTGCCCCTCCGAGGGTAAACACATAACCACTAGTGGATTTAGAATCTTTTATATCAGATATTCAATTTGTGTATACCCTTCTAGTACCGCTAGGTATCTGGTATAATGGAGCCCATAATCTAGGGTGTAACGAATATACCCCAACACCCGCATAATGCCCTTCCAATGAGTAGCATTAGGATTACTTGTGTATCTACTCAGCCTACTAACAGCGTAGGCGATATCCGGCCTTGTACAACTCATCAGGTACATCAAACTCCTAATGACCCGAGAATATTCTAGTTGAGAGACACTCTCACCATTATTCTTGGTCAAATATAGACTTAAGTCTACCGGTGTCCTAGACATACTTGTATCTGACTTTCCAAATTTCTCAAGTATTTTATTAACATAATGAGCTTGAGAAAGTACAATACCACCAGATGCTCTGGTGATCTTAACACCCAGAATGACATCTGCAAGGCCCATATCCTTCATGTCAAACTTAGAATTTAACAATCTTTTGGTAGCTTTAATCATTTCATCATTGCTACCAACAATGAGTATGTCATCAACGTATAGACACAAAATGACATAACCTTTGTCAGTGTCTTTAACATATACGCACTTATCACACTCATTGATTCGAAACCCATTTGACAACATAGCATTGTCAAACTTCTCATGTCATTGTTTGGGAGCTTGCTTCAAACCATACAATGACTTGACAAACTTACAAACTTTCTTACTTTTTCCTGGAGCTGAAAACCCCTCGGGTTGCTCCATGTAGATTTCTTCATCTAAATCTCCATTTAAGAAAACTGTCTTTACATCCATCTGATGTATTTCTAAACCACGTAAAGGTGCTATT